TCCAAACTACGCAGCATTCTTGAAAACAAAGTGCCCTCCAAGCAATGCCGGTGCTGGCATCAATCCAACAGTGGCTCTTGATGTTCTAACACCAAACCGTTTGGACAACAAGTACTACACAGTATTGAGGAAGCACCGTGGGGTACTAACTTCCGACCAGACATTGCTAAGCAGCCCTTCAACGGCTAAGACAGTGATGTACAATGCTAAATATGGTTCCAAATGGGAGGCCAAGTTTGCTTCTGCTATGGTGCGCATGGGCTACATTGACGTCCTCACTGGCAAATTGGGTGAGATTAGGAAGAATTGTCACGTTGTGAACTAACCTAATGATAGATAATAGCATTTCTCCTAAACAGTACATAGGTTGTTTTGCGGCTGGGATTTGGAAGTGTTTGGAAATAATTGTATCCCTTCATTTATTTTTTTGATATGCTGATTGATGATTCAAGTGTAAATCATTCTGTTAATTAATGTTGATGATTTGTTGTTCTTATAATAAACTCTATATGTACACGTATCCTCTCTCATTATTGGTATTTGATGACATTCCAAAGACTTAAAATATTATTATAATTAATTCCATTCCACATAATTGCATGGACTTAAAATATCACTATTTTTTTATTAAAAGAATGCTACATGCACACAATTATATATGGCTCTCCCTTTCTGTCTCTCTGTTCTTGACTAGGTTATTTGAGTGTTCCTTGCCCAGGCAAAGTATGGAGGATATTGAATTGTTGACATCAAAGGGAACAACCTTATTAACAATCAAACAGAAATTGACTAATGAAATATGTAACTCGTATATGTAAAATCCTAAAATTCATATATTCCCATGTCGGAAGGGGGAAGAAAACAAGAGAGCCATAACCTAATCAAAAGCAGAAAAAAAATAATCTACAGGCCTATATATCAAACAACCATGTCAATCTCAAAAGGAATAAGGATTGCAAACGAATAATAATGGGCTTTGTTTTCTCTCTGCCATCAGTTAGAAACATGTTGGCAATTGGTAACTATATATCCTGAATTTGAATGAATCTCTATTTTAATTTGTTCTTTTCAAAACAAATTACAAGTTGACATCTGAGAATCTCCTTCAGCTGTTATTTAGCAAAACCGCAACATGGAAAGGACTATAATTGTTAAAGATCAATGTAAAAAGAGCTCAAATAGAGTGTGGTAGCTCGCAGAGCTTTGGACTTGTATCTGTGTGATCATGGACATTTCTTGCCCTTCAACTGTAGACTTGCAGTAACATCTAGACAGGTCGAATACAAATCTAGCTGAGGTCCGAATCATTCTCCAGCCCCACTGAGGAGTTTGGCGTACGTATGCCCATTGTTCAGTTTCAATTAGGTGCAATATGGCCATGATTTTATTTTACTTATGATGAGATGGATGGACTTTGGATCAATCGTCTGGAATGAAAGCAAATAAACTTTGGAAAACTGCAGTTGGCATATTACTTATGAAAGCAATGACAAGTGAAGATGTGGGATATCAAAACCCAAAACTATATATATTCTTACAATTTTTATATACAGAGTTTTCAGTAGTAGTTAGTTAGAAGCTACCTTGGTGGCTATTTCGAACTATGTAAAACTAAATGTACAATTCTAAGGCAGTTATTATGACCCCAGCATCTTCAAATAGTTGATAAGAGGTACAAGCCAAAATATAGAACTTTGAGACATTTACTATTAAAACTTTCAGTTGGCCAAAATACTGTATTTGTTTGAAATAGTATAAAAGTATAGAAACCAATCATTAAATTGAACATAATCCTCACAAATAGTCTAAATCTGTGATTAGTTTATGTACAAATTAAAAAAGGGAGATTTGGTGATAGTTCCCTCACTATCTAATTTGTCTTTCAAAAGGATAAGAATTATATAAGTACTTTCAAAACCCTCTAATATTTTAAAACTTATTTCTTTTACTATATTACCCTCATATCTATCAGCTCTCCTATTAAGCCATCTTCACTGTGTATTTCAGAGTAAAATTTTACTCTGTATAAAAGTAAAATTTTACTCTGAAAAACTAGTAAAATGTTAGACTCTACACAAAAGTAAAATTTTACTCTGTATAAAAGTAAAATTTTACTCTGATAAACGAGTAAACTGTGAGACTCTAAAGCTAAAAGTAAAATTTTACTCTGAAAAACTAATAAAATGTTAGACTCTACACAAAAGTAAACTTTTACTTTGTATAAAAGTAAAATTTTACTCTGAAAAATAAATAAACTGTGAGACTTTGAAACTAAAAGTAAAATGTTACTCTATACAAAAGTAAAAAAGCGAAGGCAGTGTTTGTGGCGGCTGAAGTGTTTGGCAATGACCACCTCTTGACAGTAAAATTTTACTGTCACTCTAACACCAGAGTAAAATTTTACTCTAATTCTCTCAAACAAAAAACAGAGCAATAGAAGCAGAGTAAAATTTTACTCTCATTATCTGAAACAAAAAACAGAGCAATAGAACCAAAGTAAAATTTTACTCTGATTCTATCGAATGAAATTAGATCAAAAACAACAAAAATAAATCAAAAAAAAACAAACAAACAAACAAACAAAAACAAAACAAATTAATCAACAAATCAACATATCTAATTGAGAAGAAAAATTTTTAAAACTCGATCAACAATCACAAATCTCAATGAAAAGAATACATGTGTTCAACAATACTCATACACACAAATATATATATAACATTACAACACTCATACACACAAATATTATAGATCGATTTCGTTTGTGTACTGAGAAAATTGAGGAAAATATTATATAACATTACAACGAAAACTTATGGATCACGTCTCTTACGTTTTTTACGAATTTCATTTGTATCAAGTAGCGAAGCCAAAAGAGATCCAGGAAGTTATCTCGTCAAATGAAGAAGAAAACGCGATACTTCTTGTGATCTGTTGCCTCACAATTGCTTGGAAGATGAGGATTAGGTCCTTCAATGTCGAACTATTTCTGGTAATCGAAACTGCTATATTCTTTGTCTGATTGATTCTGATGATCTGTTAGTGTTATTGTTTCAATGAATTTTATCTGCTGGAGCTTGGGAGACGCGATTATGGTGTCGCCGACCTTCTACTGAAGCTTCGAAGACACGACTATGGTGATTATGATACAATTGATGACGAAACTGATTATATATGCAGAAGCTAAGGGTATAATAGTTATATAAAATATTTAAATAATAAATTTTATCCTTTATGCAAGACTTTATAATTATAAGGGGGTTTAGAAAGTATAATTTTTTTCTTAATCCTTTTAACAATGAAAGAAAGGTAAAAGGGATTTATAACTAAATTTCCCATTAAAAAACTATATTTGTTTCCTTCTCAATAAACATTACTAATTTTGTTATGCATGCAATCAATAATATAGCTAGGAAAATTCTAATATACACTTTTGAAAGAAGTATTATATGCATCCCTAGTTATGATAAACATTATAATCAATTTTTTTCTTTAATTATGACATTATTTTAGTGATCTCATAAGATCTGTAATTATATCATATATTGTATTTAGTTATGATTTTCTTTTAATTATGACTCAAAAAATATAAAATTATACAATTTTCTTCTAAATTAAATTACGTATAGTGTTTCCCATATAACTAAGACCATCTTCAACCCTTCACCAAACCTAATATCAAATTTGAAATTTGGTGGAAAAACACGGTTTGGAGCTCCAATGGTTTTACCAAATTGATATCAAATCGAGAATTCATCAAACGTTTCACCAAAAGGAGAATAGGCTCCGCATTTCACCAAAACACTGTGCATGACCGTTGGGGAAGACCAAACGGTCAACCAGCCGGTTGACCAACCGATCGACCACCAAAAGGTTCAAACAGTTAAAAAAAAAAAAAAAAAAAATTTGCCTTACCGGTCGACCACCAACCGGTTATTCTGGCACAGATTTGATGAAAATTTGATAAAAATCAACCGTTGGAACACTCGGTATCAAATTGAGAAAAAAGTCATTTTTTTACTCAGATTTGATGAAAATTTTGATTCAGGGTTGGAAATGCTCTAAGGTGAGGCTAATTGTTAATCTGGATTATGACAAGCTCTATTTTTATTTTTATTTTTTGAACTGGCTATAACAAGCTCTATTATTTTAAAATATATATCGTTATTATTTTGTTTTTTAGTAGGACCTACGTGTATACCTTAATAGGTAAGCCTATTATCTAATAAGTCTTGTGAGGATTAATAGCATTTTTTATTAAACATTATTAAAAATGTCACTAATTATTAATTTTCAACAATAATATGAAAATTATCACAAAAAATTGTCACTTTATAAGTTTTAGTGACAGTTTAAAAAAATCATTATAAAAAAAGTCATTAATCTTCAACTTTCAATGATAGTTTGAAAAATTCGTCACAGAAAAAATCACTAATTATTAAATTTTAGCAACAATTTATGAAACCATGACAAAAAAGTCACTAAATGTCAATTTTTAACTATATATGCAAAAAAAATTGTTAAAAAAATTGATTTTAACAATGATCTTATTATGACTTATTTTAATAAGACTTGATATATATTTATTTTCTGTCACAAGCCACATGTATAAAAATTGTGGGGTAAATTACAAATACACCTTTTAAGATTTGTTTAAAATACGAATTGTATCTGTAGTTTGAAAAATTACAAATACCTCTCTGTCATTTAACAGAATTAATTGAAAAAGTAAAATTTCTAAATATTCTCCTATATAATAATAAAATTATCTGAATCATTAATTAAAATAAAATTTTAATATTATTAAAAACTGTTAATTAACTTAATGATTTATTAATAAAATGGCGTATTTGTTATAAAATTAAAAACCTTAGAGGCATAATATAATTTTTAAAACTATAAGGGATACTTAGTAATTTAAATAAACTTTATGGATGTATTTGTAATTTATTCAAAATTGTGTGGTTGCAAAGTGTGGAGCCAATGGATAGCATACATTGGGATCAAAGTCATGCAAAACGTCTAGAATTGAATTGAAACTCCAACCAACCGTCTTCACACACCATCACAGCAGGCAAGGCAGCTATGGAACTGAAAGGAACAATCGTCTTCACCACCCTGGGCAGACCACACTACGGTTTCGACATTTTCTCCCTCAAAATCCCCTCTAATCTCAACACCCCTTTCTCCGATTGCCAAGAACGCCGTCTCACCGACGGAATTTCCGTCAATTTTAACGCCCAGTTCCTCGACAACGACCAAACCATCGTCTACGTCTCCGAGAGAACCGGCTCGCCTCAAATCTATTTAACTCGCCCCGGAGCAGCTAAACCGGTGCAACTACCTTCACCACCCGAAAGCCTTTTCCACGACCGTCCGATAATCAAAAACCAAACGCTATACTTCATCTCAGCTCACGAACCGCCCGACAAACCTTTCAAAAGCTGGTCTGCTCTTTATTCAACTGGGCTCCGACTCGATGATGATAAGAAAATTGTTCGGCTGACACCTTACGGGTCTGTTGATTACAGTCCGGCTATTTCTCGCTCCGGCAAGTTCATAGCCGTGGCGTCTTACGGGTCCGGAGCCTGGGGCGGCGAATTTCACGACCTCCACACGGATATCATTGTCTTCCCGGAATCTGATCCGACTAACCGCACCGTCCTCTGTCGACACGGTGGCTGGCCCACTTGGTCCGGCGACTCCACCATTTACTTCCACCGCCAAGCCGACGATGGATGGTGGAGCATTTTTCGGATCGACTTGCCCAAAGATTTTGAACTGACCGGATCGATTTCCCCTAGCCGAGTCACACCGGCTGGACTTCATTCATTCACTCCTGCGGCTATGCACGACGGTCAGCGAATCGCCGTAGCCACGCGCCGCCGTGGCAACAACTTTCGTCATATTGAAATTTTCGATGTGGTGTCGCAGAAATTTCACCCAATTACTGAGTTACTGAACCCTAATTTCCACCACTACAATCCGTTTGTTTCGCCGGAGTTTGGTTTTCTCGGTTATCACAGATTCCGAGGCGAGTCATCAGCCTCCGGCGATTCGATAATTCCACATCTCGGTTACGCGACGTCACCAATCAAAGGACTCCGAATGTTTCGGCTCAATGGATGTTTCCCTTCGTTCTCTCCAAACGGCGATCTGATCGCGTTTAATCAGGATTTTGATTCCAACTCCGGCCTAAAAATTGTCAAATCAGACGGTTCAAAGAGATGGTCATTGATCAAAGAGCGAACATCGTTCTACAGCTGCTGGTCTCCGACGGAGAGGAACGTGATTTTCACATCACTGGGACCGATCTTTGATTCGGTAAAAGCCTCAGTCCAGGTTGCTCGAATATCATTCGAATCTGCAAATTTTCTTGAGGATGATCGTGAAGATGTTCCAGTTGATATAAAAGTCCTCACTAGAGAAGATACTGGTAATAACGCATTCCCGTCGTGCTCGCCAGATGGCAAGTTCCTTGTGTTCAGGTCCGGCCGTTCGGGACATAAGAACTTGTACATAGTTGACGCCGTTAATGGGGAATTAAACAGTGATGGAATTCGTCAGTTAACGGAGGGGCCATGGATTGACACGATGCCAAGCTGGTCGCCAGACGGCCAACTCATTGCTTTTTCATCGAATAGACATAACCCTGACAACGTGAATGCTTTCAGTGTATATGTGGTTCGGCCGGACGGCACGGATCTCCGGAGGATACACGTGGCCGGACCAGAAGGATCGGGTGATGTGGATACCGAGAGGATCAACCATGTGTGCTTCAGTGCAAATGGGGAGTGGCTGCTGATGACTGCCAACTTGGGGGGAGTGACGGCGGAGCCAGTGTCGGTGCCCAATCAATACCAGCCATATGGTGATTTGTATGTGGTGAGGTTGGATGGGAGTGGGTTGCAGAGGTTGACTTGTAATTGGTATGAGAATGGCACGCCAGCGTGGCACCAGAGGGATGAGTTGCTGGATACGGGACGGTTGGGCTTGGGATGCGAGGTTGGAGATAAGTTGCAGGGTCAATTCGATGAGCCGCTCTGGATCCGTTGTGATTTTTAATTCCAACACCAACGAATTCAGGTAGTTAGAATATCATTTTTTTTAGAAAAATTCTAATAGCGTTTCATAAAATTTTAAAATTACAATTTAATAATAGAGTTATGTTTTGAGTTTGTAAGTTTTTTATTTATAATTTGAGTGTAGAAAATTTATTTGGTTATAAGTTTTGAAATTTTTAATATGAGATATGATATTTGATTCAAAAACTGAAAATTCATAACCAAACATACAACTTAAAATTCTATTCAAAGCACACAAAAAAAAATTTTAAAATTTTAAAAATATTTTTTATTTAAAATATAAAAATAGCAAGTGCAAAAAAAAAAAAAAAAGACACATCAGTTGGGCATTTAGGGGATGACCAGGTAAACGAGTTTTCAAACGCAGGTGTAGAAATGATTTTTAAAAACTAAAACCAAACGTAGCATTAAAATCAGTGGATTGAAAATTAATTACAAAGTCCCACCAAGTACAACCTTACTTTTTGCTCCTCCAACGGTTCATCAAATCTAAAATTTCTCAAATCTTTTATCAAATTGACGACCAACGTAACTTTTATCAAATTACTGTTCATTGCCATTAAATTTTCACCACCGAATG